GGTGGGCACCAGGGTACCAGGCCACACACTGCACAGCTGTGGCCAGCTCTTGGACCCAAGCGGCGCAAGCAGCTACTACTTGTCTGTTCTCCACCCAGATACTTCTCTGGGACTTGGTGGGTCCCTCTTGAGGGCATCAAAGCATGATAGTCCTAGGGGCCTCCAGGCAAACCCGAAGATGCCAAGTCATAAAAGAGGAGAGGTCTTAAAGCCGGAAAAGCCCCCGCCAATCTCGGGTCACGAGGCCCAGAGTTCTCCTGGAAAAGCAGAAGCAGGGGTCTAGTGTCTCCTTGGTATAGACCAGGAGGGTGCAAGTGGCTTTTAAGACAGCATGGTGACACATACCGCTTTGGGAACAGCGGCAAAGAGTGGAGGTGGCCTTGCCCAAATGGCAAGCGATGGATCTACTCAAGTCTTCTCAAACACTAAGGGAGGGACACTCCAGAAGAGGGTCACCAGACAAGGACCAGCATTCAGAGCATGCCTCGGGGAGATCGTGAGTGAGTGCCAGTTCCCGTCTGGTGACAGGCATTTTGACAGCCACCCTGGTTGACATTTTCATGTTCCAGGAAGGGGACTAGCAAGAGGGTGAGAAAGGCAGCAAGTTCAGACAGGAGCAGGCCCTCTTAAGCAAACAGGAAACTAACTTCCATTCAAGGGGGCAGCCCTCCCTGCCCAGAGGCCTTTTCAAACACTGAACTTCACTCATCAGTGCATTGAGGGTAGGGATGCAGGTGAGGACGGGCTGTGGAACCCTCTTACCATGGCATCAGCTTCTTGAAAACTTACCCACGCTAGCCCAAGAAAGGTCACCCAAACATCCCGGAAGAAACCTTAGCGCATATAAGCCAGCATCAGCCCCTAAAGACCAAGAAGCTGGGTCCCCAGGAGGGGTGGGTACAGCTCAGGCCAACAGTTGGTTCCCAGACAGCCTCACAAGCCCAGGGCACAGCTCTAACAGGCAGGCTTTCTCTGGGCCAGTGTGTCACCTCACTGCCCAGATACAGGACTGGACACGACACATGGCCCACATCTGCCCTGTCTTGAGGTCCTTCTCACAGTTCCCAATTCTGCTAATTTCCCAGCAAAAACGCCTAGGTTGGGCCTCTTCCCATCTGGAAGAGCTGAGTGAGCTTGGGGGCATCTCTTTACCCTTCCTGGCATTCCTGGATCACACACCTATGAAGGAGTTAGTACTAGGCAGGTGAGCCGTCCAGATAGCGCCTTACTGCCCTACCCTAATTCAAGTCACTCTCCCCTCCCCTCGGATTCTCCTGAACCCCACCTGCCCTGCCCTGCCTTACAAGTAAGTCTGCACCAGGACATACCGATTTTTTTTAAAACTGGGGCAGTCTCTCTCTGACCTCCACACGAAAGCTGAGACCCATCAACCATCCCTACAACCATCACACACAGTGTAATTTTTAAAAGTAAACAAAAACCATATGTATATACATTAATTATATTTACCAAGTTGTATTATACAGCGTGTTTGTACATATATCAGTTTTGTTTTGTTTTTTCACTTTTTTCCAAGTTCTAAGCTGTTCTGCTAAATGTATTTTTGGGGTTGGGGCATTGTTGATATGTGTGCACACATACTGAATTTACAAAGGACAAAATAAACTACATACAGCAAAAACACCTTCAGCCATCATTTCCTGACCTGGGCCATGAGGATCTTTAAAAATCATTTAAGTCCGTCATTTCACTCTACTCTCCAATGGCTTCCTGTGGTGCTGACAATAAAATGCACCTACCATCACCACCACCACACTTCACCAGGTGCCACCAGCCAGGCTCTGAGCCTCCTAATCCTCCCACCACAAAGTTGAATACTTGGTTCTGACGGGGGTGTAGGAGGGCATCTTCGGGTGCCTCAGACTGGAATGCCCCTCTTCCCAGCTGTGCGCAGCTGGCTCCTGTCTTCAGGCCTACCCTGAGTTCTCCCAGGAAAGACTTCTCTGGCCTCCCAATGATCCCACCGCCCTATCTCCCCACCTGGGGATTTTCTTCTCATGATCTGGCACAGCTGCCCCCCTACATGTAAAGCAGTCCACCTATGTGCCCACCTACCACTGCCTAGCACAGACCTGGCAGGTAACGGGCACATTGCTTCCACAAGTTTCTGTTAAGGAACAAAGCAGATGTCTTCTGCACTGGTTCGCATCTGCAAACTGCCTCGTTGTGGGACTTACCCAACACCAAGTTTTCCCACGCTGGCCACCCTCCCCGGCACGCCTGGTGAGGGTCAGAGGAGGAAGCGGAGCCCCGGTCTCCCTCAATGTGCCATGCAGCAATAAAGACAAGAACCGGTACCTACCTTACATTCCTAGAAATCCCTCCAACTGCCACTGGAAAGTTAGAGGTGCCACCATCGCCCCTCATTTATCTAAGTCTCAGATGCAGTATACCCTGGCAGCCAGGCTGCCTAGAAGAAGTTCTCAAGTGAGCCCCAGCAACAGGAAACAGATACTACCTAGGGAATAGAACCCTCCAGGGCAGGCAGCCTGCCTGTCCCACCTGACTGCCCCTGAGCCCAAGACACCTGGGTTCCTCTCAGTGGAAATCCATCCAGTCCCAGAGACACAAATGCACATCCAATCCTGAGTCTGTGGCACAGACCAGGGTGTCCAGGGATACCCTCTTGAAGACATTTCCTTCCTGGGGCTGTTTCCAGGGAGAATGCTCCATGGTGCCAAGATTAATTTTTAAGAATGAGGAAAGGAGGGAATGAAATGCCTTGCACTGGGAAGAGAAAGGAAAGACGAAAGAAATAAATGCACAAGAAGGTTGAAGCTGACGAATAGCGAGAAGCTTGATCTGAGGGATCACAACCAATTCGAGGTAGGAAGAAGTGTGGGGTCTCTTCCTCCCCAGAAGTGAAAATTGCCAAAATTAATTAAATGGACACAACCCCAGAGTTCTGGCCTCAGTACAAGGTCACTTAAATTGTAATGGCCCACGTTGGAGATGGTAATAACTTCCTTAGTATGAACTAGGCTCTGGGACCCACAATACTGTTATTACAATAATGACAGCAGCTAGCTAGGTGTATTGGCCAACTTTAGTCCCAGCACTCCAGAGGCCGAGGCAGGTAGATCTGAGTTCGAGGCCAGCCTGTTCTACAAAAGGAGTACCAGGGCAGCCAAGGTTGCAAAGACCCTGGATGGAAAAGCAAAGTAATAACAATAATTAAAATACATAGTTATAATAATAATAATAATAATAATAATAATAATAGACAACAGCTAACGTCCCAAATGCACACACTGAATATGGTACCCAGAATCTCCTGCATGTGAGGCTAGTGCTCTACCACTAAGATACACCCTGACCCCATCAGCTAACAATTGTCTAGCAGTTGCTATGTGCCAGGCACAGCGTTCTGAGACTACACTAAAACTTTTCATCTCAAGACCACCCCCACCAGGTGGATATTGTCAGAATTTATCCTCATTTTATAGATAAGTAACCTGACCAAGAGGGTTGTGTTAAACCAACCACAGTGATGGCCAGACCCCACCAGCTGCTGCACTGGTTTACAACCCCAGCTTCCTGGTTCTACCCTCTGCATTACCTGGCTCTCCGTGGTACTTAGGTTAAAGCCTTCCAAACAGTATCCTCCAATCAATCAACACATGCCAGTTTCAAAGATAGGTGCACAGATCCGCCCCCCCCCCCCTTTTTAAATTGGAGAAAGTAGAGAAGCTGTTTGGAAGTAGCCAAACTCAAGCTGCCCCTCTTGGTGAGGAACAAGACTCAAGCGTGCTTCCTAAGGCGCGAAGGCGTTGGAAACAGGGTCTCTTCTCTGGAAACCCGGCTCAGAGCGGCAGCAGCATCTGACTGCAGTAGGTCAGACCCCTCCGCCAGCGCCAGCGCCAGCGCGGGGGCGCCGGGCCCGGAAATTCCCACAGAGCTAAAGCAAACTTCCCAGGAAAACTCCTCGGCTTCCTCCAAGCCCTTGTCACGGAGATCGCTGCCAAGAGCGCCAGCTGCTGGGGACCCTCCCAGGCGGGAGCCGCCGCTCAAGCGCCCGGGGTCCTCCCGGAAAGGTCCAGGGCTGAAGTTCAAAATTCCCGTCCAGCCCGGGCCAGATTCCCGGCCCCGCCAGGGACTCTGGGGCAACTCCCACTCCCGCGTCCCTCTCCCCCAAAGCTCCAAGCAATGGGGGCACCTCCTGCCGGGACATCTAAGCTGGCTGCGGGGAGATGTGAGCGGGGATGCGGGGAATCTGAGCAGCCGCAGCCGGCGCGTGCACACACACGCGTGCACACACACACACTCGCGTGAGTGTGTGTTTACGTACGGAACGTGGGGTGGGAAAACAATGGCGAACCGCGGGGACTAAGCGACCACCCCCTTCCTCATCCCATCAGCCCTGTGCTCAATTCATTTCTACCGTGAAGAGGGGGCTGAAGGACGCTCCTCCGACACCCCGCCGTGGGAGGCGGCGGTGGCAAGGGGCAGGCCGGCGTGCAGAGGGGACACGAGCAGCAGCGGCAGAAGAACGGGAGGCGGCGCCCGGCTGCTCCGCGGGGAAGGAACGGGAGCCGTGGGAAGGCTGCGCGCTGGACCTCCATGCACCCAGGGGCCGGAGCTCCGCGTCGCGGGCACCCGAGCCCCACGCGGGGCGCACAGCGGACGTCTGAGCTGGGACTGGGAATGCTAAAACAGGGCGGGCTGGTCAGAAAGACGCGGAGCCGGCGGGTCGCGGAGGACGGGAGGGTTGAGGACTCCCTAAGGCCAGCTCGCGCGGCGCGCGCACGCCAGCCACCCCCCCCCTCCCCGGTCTGCAGCCACTGCTCTCCAAAAAGACGCGGGTCAGCGCCGGCGCCAACGGCCGGCGATGTGCGGGATCGGCTCCGCCCGGCAAAACTTTGCCCAAGACGGAAAGTAGCGCGGAGGAGAGCCAGCGTGTCCCCAGGAACACGGGGGCGCGCGTGTCAAACTTCCCGAAGGCTGGGGAGAGGGGCGCGCGCTGCGAGGGACGCACTTACGGATCGCTCAGCCGCTGGCCCGGGGTCGCAGCTCCGCGCTCGCGCTCCCGCTCCGTACGTCCCGGCGGCCAGCAGCCTGGCCCTCCGGCTCACATGCCCGGGCAAGGCGGCGGGCAGCGGGTCGGGGCGGCGCGGCCGGGCGGAGGCACGCCCCCCACCACCACCACCGCCGTGGGCTGGAGGCGCTCGGGACCCGCCGGGCTCCGCTGGCCACCGTCGCCGGCTCCGAGCTGAGGCCGGGCCGGGCCGGGCGGCGCCCTCCGCCGAGCCAGGCCGCTCGGCACTCTGCCCTCTGCCCCCGGCTGGCCGCCGCCGCGCTGCCTTCCGCGATCCGGCTCCGCGAGTCCCCGCTGCTGCGCGGGCCAGGCCGGCGGGTAGTGCGCGCTGTCCCCCCGCGCAGTTCCGAGCCCGCTCGGTCCAGAGCCAGGGCCTCCGAAGCTGAGCGCGCCGCCCTGGCCTTCGACCCGCGCCGGTCGCTCCGGAGCTCGGGTTCCAGTAGCCGCGCTCGCACACTTGAGTTCCCAGCCCGGAGCGGAGCAGGGAGCTCGCCACTGGCTTCTGCGAGAGCCACTCGACAGCCGCGGAGGAGAAAGAGGGAGGGAGGGCGCGGGCGGGCGGGCGGGCGGGCGGGGGAGGAGGGAGGGTGGGGAGATGGAGGAGGAGGGAGGGACGGAGTTTCCTCCTCCTCCCAGCAGCTGGTCCAGCCAGGCCTCCACAGCTGGGGACCGGTGCGGAGAAGGGGACTGTGGAGTTCTCCAAAGCCAAGGCCAGTGGAGATGTAGAGACCACTGGAAAAAGAAAATCGAGAAAGACGTGAATTCGGCCCACTCCCTCGAGCCAGGTTGCTACAGAGATTTGCCAGAGAGAATCCTCATCCTTGTCAGCAAGCCCTAAGAAGTTATTGGTCCTGCTCACAGCCTCCGCTAAAACAGAGAGCCTGTATTGAGCTTTATGTATTTTTTTTTCTCACTTTGTAAATTAGGCTGGACTCATCGAAACTCTTGCCTCTGCCTCCAAAGTACTGGAATTGAAGGCGTGCTCTACCTAGCCCAGTTTTAGATTGATTAAAAAAAAAAAAAAAAAAAAAAAAAAAAAACTGGACTTGAGAGCTGAGAGCTGCCGGGTGTGGCTCATACCTAGAATACCAACCGTGGGGAAGCTGAGGCAGGAGGGTCTTCACTTGAAATCAGCCTGAGGGGGGGGACAGATCTATTTTTAACCTGATCAGATCTCTGACAGATAGCTTCTGCGCATCTCTGACCACTCCCGTAGTCCTGCCCTTTTCAGAGTCTCTCCATTTCTCCTGCCCTATTTAGGAAGAAGGCGTGAATGAAGATTGGATTCTCCTCATTCAGCCCATTTATTGAATGTCCGCAACAGACCTGACCCAAGCAGGTGCCAGGGACCACCAAGATGAATGGCACGGTGGCAACCTTTCCAGGATTCACGTGGTGTGAAGGAATGGGTCAACTTCAATTCCAGAAGGTGCTAGAGAACTCAGGCAGGGCAAGCCATGGGGACTGGAATCAGAGTCTCCTTAAAGAGGCCACTGTCTGAAGTGGGGCTTGGGGACTTGCAGGAGTAGGGCAGGTTGAAGGAATGCCAGTTGTGGAACTGTATAACTAACTGTCCTGAGGGATGGCCAGCCAGGGAGCTCTCAAAGCCTTCTAAGGACAACATTTCACCAATCCCCATTTCCCTGCCTGGGTGACAAGTCCTTTTATTGCCTTTTGCCTCTGGGAACTCAGTCTGGTATCAACTCTTCAGGAATTCTTTCTTGGAGGGAGGGGTCAAATCCGGGCCAGGAACTCCATGCACGGACTCTGAGAATCCCCCAATCCCTTTGCCTGTGTACCCCACTGGATGGTAAACTCTACAGGACAGGGATATACCTCTTGTTTATGGTTAGATCTGGGGTCTAGACAGGACTTGGCAAAGGGGAGGTTCTTAATACATTCTTGCTTGTCAGTTGGTTGAAAAAAGGGAACAGGGTCTAAGCAAGGCTCTAATGAGGTCACTCTAGTGGGAGGTATGGAGATAGGCCAGTGACCAGCATCAAAAAGAAACAACAACAACAACAACAAAAAAAAAAAGATGGGAAAAGTCAACATTAACTATTAAGGGTCTGTTTTTAGGATGATCAAATATCCCGCAACATTTCCCTCTTTTGTCTAAATAAAAAAAGAAAGGTTTCACTCTAACACAATAAAACTATATACAATAAGAACAATTATCATGTATTGTCTAAATAAAAAAAAAGGTTTTGACTCTAACTCCGTAAAACTATATGCAATAAGAACAATTACCAGGTGTTGTCTAAATAAAAAGGAAATGTTTTAACTCTAACACAGTAAAACTATAAACAGAACAATTACCATTGAAGAATTATATTCAAAATGTCCAATTCATTTGTTGAAAAATTTGGAGAAACTACTCTATTATCTATCCTATCTTAGTGAATCCAAAGTTTTATACCTAAACCACTTTCTATCATAACTTCTTTAGCAACCTAAAAATATCTTCTTAGACCTTAAAATATTTTCTTAGATAAACAACTTAAAGCTTTTAGGGTCTCTCAACTTTATAAACTTTACCTCTCTTGTAAGTTTCTTTTCTGAATTTGGTAACAATGAAAATGGTGCCAGGCATTAGTGGTGCGCGCCTTTAATTCCAGCACTCAGGGAGAAGGGGGGCAGAGGCAGGTGGATCTCTATGAGTTTGTGTCCAGCCTGGTCTACAGAGTGAGTTCCAGGAGAGGCTCCAAAGGTACACAGATAAACTCTGTCTCGAAAAATCAAAACAAACAAAAAGAATAGAAAATGGTATAACGATCTAGTCTTCAACCCCCTTTAGAGACCTGAGAAGGATAAAATACTTACTGAGTAAACAGGAAGTGCAGGGCAAACAACTTCCAAAACTATAGAAATGACAGAGACAACTGACTGCCTGGATAGTCACTCAAGTTTTCTCTGCAACATTGGGGTTATCCATCTTCAACCTACAGGCCTACAGTCTGACAGACTTTTCTGTGGAGCAGGAATTTTGAAGGGCTGACCTGCCTTATCTTGGCAAAGTTCAGCAGTCAATGTCCTGTAGCAAGCTTTCTCAAATGTAGCTAGACTACACATATCCCTACAACAACTTTCTTTGTCCTGCCCGTTCAATTTGGACAACATATTGTTCATAGTCAAGGCAAGGGCAGTTTTTTACGCAGTGGCTAAGTTTGCCACAACAAAAACAAATTTGCTTATATAGGTTCTTCAACGCCCATCGTCTTCTCTGAAGTAAGTTGGTGCTGCCAGGAACAGACATGTCTCACTCTCATGAAAATCCTCATGTTATTAAAACACTTGGAATGCCATATTCTGTAGATCTCTGAGGTATTTGAAGATTCTATCTGTCTAATATATATGCTTAACCCTGAAAACATACCTAACATGACTACAAAGCTTGATTGTTGTAGATGACCAACCACTAACCTGCATTTCTTAGCTATCCTCAGCAGTTTGTAATAATAGCTTTCAAGGACTAGAACTTTACATTTTAAAATGAGCTGCATAGGTACCATACTTTAAACAAGATTAGGAATATATGTATAGTATGTTATAACAAAAATAACCTTAAGTATGTATAGATGCACAAAAATCCATACTGAAGTAAAATATTTGAGACTAGCAGTTGCTCTTTAGTCTAAAAGTAGATTCAGTAATCTACCCTTTTATTTTATCATTCCTATGTAGTGAGATAGTCCTTCTGTGGCACTGACCACGCCCATTGGGGGGTGGAGCCATGGGCTCCACAGGAAGTGACCTGTGGAAGGAGTTCAAAGAGCGGGGGAAAAGCTCTCTTGCTGGTGTGACTCGGACAGGAGAGGATTGGGTTGAATTTCCTGGTGTTCATCTGTCTAGGTTGTAAGTTATTTCTCCCTGAATAAACATCTATCCGGCCTATTTGTTTATCCTGATCCTTATTTAACCGCGATATTCCTATATCCTTTTTCATAAAGAGATCCCTGAAGCTAACCTTCTTTGTTAGCTTCCTCCCTGACCTTGACCAATAACACACTAGCAACTAACTCCCCTAAACAATGACAAACATCTATAACCCACTGAATGACCAAATACCACCCACCCCACCTCTTGGGAATGTGAGTGTTGTGTTCTTAAAATTACTTCCTACTACTAGGGGTAATGGCATCTTAGGGGACACTTTAGAAAATTGCAATAATGGTTAAGTCCTGGGAGAGATAGCTGTTTTCTAGTCTTAGTGTGATGGGAAAGTGCAGAATTTATCTTAAATCCTGGCTGGAGTAGTCTGTGAGGAGGGACCACCTTAGCTAGCAGCTTTGAAGTTGTCCTGAGCAGTTTGTAGTCCCAAACTGATCTTTGATGTTTGTCAGCTTAGTGGCATTATCACAGTCTAGGTGGATTTATCTTTGCAGGGTCCCATCATCCTTCAGGAGACCTCAAGAGTCACTGCTAGAAATGGTTATGGTTTGGTGCAGAAAACTTAAACATTTTAAAGTCATGTACAGCAGATCTCCTAAAGATTAGAGGATCACAATCTATTAAGTACATCCAGGGTACACAAACCTCGTTTTTATCTAAGTTGTCTATTTCCCAATAAAGACTCAGGAGTCGGACGTTAGAGAGAAAAACCTCCTGGGTCGGAGAAGCCGAGAAGCAATCAGCTGGCCTTCCCTTTTGGTGGGAGACCCAGCAAGAGACCATCGCTCCACCCATCCCAAACCAAAAGAGCCCTCAAATCTCTGAGTCCCTCCCTATTCCCTCCTGTGCCTCTCTCTATCCATCTTACTGGGTCCTCCATATGCTCTATGGCTAATTGTTGGATCAGGGCTCCACCCCTGATCCAGGGTTAATTATATTAACACAGTCTGGGAGTTAACACGGTCACAGCATGCTCAGATATCTCAGAGCAGGGATGGAGTAGGACCATTTCATCAGCCAGGAAAGTTACCCAAGTCCCACCATCTTTTCCTCCTCCCAAACACTTTCAAAAAGAATAATTACTCAAATGATGGTTTAAGTTGGCAGGTTAGTCTCAAACTGCCTCAGCCTCTCAAGAGCCAGAAGTACAGATGTTCTAATGTGTTTGTACGTTGGGTTGATTTGGTTTGGTTTTTGAGA